AACAACCTGTTTATGAACATGATTGCAATAAAATTCTACAAGGTTGAAAAGATATTTTAATTAGAAAGTTGTCAAAGTGAAAATGAGTTCACCTTTGCTACACTTGCCTTATTCATCTACTAACCCGCTTCAGAAAACCTGGATCTGACTGGAAAACCTTAAATCATATTGGAGGAGGATTAAATAAGAAACTGGGAAAAATTAAGTAGCATGTTCCCTTGGCTGACTTTTCCATTTATAGGTGAACATTATTCCAGAGATTTATGGCTCTCGAAAATGTCAGTTGTATTGTTCTAGAATTTCTTTGCAGAACAATACAACTGCTGTTAATTTGAATGAATGTTTGTTTCAAGCTTAAAATGAAGCAAACTGTAGCTCAAATTTACTGTCTGTTCTAGTGGAATGCCTTAAAGTGCTTGTGAGGCACATTTCTTTTTCCCACAAAATTATATGTCAAGATCTTTTTTCACTTCAGCAGCAGAGAAGAGGAAACTTCTTTTGGCTGTGCTGTGGCTTTACTACAGGCCCTGAGCCTTTAATGTTGAAGGAGTTTATGCTGTTTCTCATAACATGCAGGATAAAGTAACATGAAAGAAAAGCAATCTAAGACCAATTTACTTTAGCTTTGTTGATTTTCATCCATTTCTCCTATGGAATGCATCTTGGACCAAACTATAATGGATGTTGTGTTTTGTTTTTTTTTCACTCTGCTAATGTACGACAGGAACACACAACATGGCTCATTACCATTCTCAGAGTTCCACAGGAAATCCACCACACCATTTTAAATGAAAGAGGTTTTCAAGAGAATTAAGACCATGCAGACTAGACTAGACTCCTAATAGCCATTGTTCGTAAAATACGAATTAGCTGTGATTAACTGTATTCCTGCAAAGCTATGTGTAATTTCCCTTACTTCAGCCAAGCATGAAAAATGCCAAAACCAATAATATCAACAATTAACCAAAACGTCTCTAATAAAAGATAAAGCAGGTGAGACATGCAGCTAAGAAATAAAATCTGTGAAGAGTTACAAAACCATTTCTAGAATTTTTGAGACTCGAGTGAATCAAAATGAGATGCAGTATCCTCAATTAGATTTGGAAAAAAAAAAAAAAGAAAAAAAAATTTCAAAACAGACACAAATCACCCTGAAGTTAACAAACATATTATCCTGTAAATGTTTTGCGGCTTAATGTTATAAAGTCTTAAATTTATTTCTTAATTGTTCATTGTGTGTGTTATTTTTGTGCAAATGAGTTGCCCCTCGGGGACAATAAAATATTTACACCAATTTAGTTCAATTTAATTCAAAGAACCTGAAGTACCGTCCACTGCACTAGATTCCAGATTTGCCAGTGTTCTTAATTAGAAAATTAGAGAGTTTGAAAATTAGTGATTTCTATGTCCACTGTTGATAAAACATCAGCATGATAATTTCCAAGACTTTAGGGAAATTTTATGTGGACCTATCAAGTAAAAATACGGCATTATGGTCACGTACAGAACAAATATCAAGGACACCCACAAATTTACAACTGAATGCAAAAGAAATAAACAAAATACAGGCTTTTACATGAGCTTTATTTGGATTTAAATCTGACCGAGATGCAGTGTAAACTAAAAACTGGGTGTTTTAGATCCTTGCAGAGTGGCTAAATAACAGTAATTCTGCAAAGTTGACTTTGCACAAATCGTGGAAAAGCCAATAACCAGTTATGACTAAGTTGATGCCCCTTAACAAAGTTGAAACAAAACGAGCAAACTTTATTGTTACCAATAAGGATGGAATAACCTTTCCTTATTGCGATGGTCACCCAGTCAGTAACCCCACACATAACCATTTTTTCACAAAGTTTTGACACTTGGCAGCATAAATATATTGGTTTGTTTATTTTTACTTTAATAGTAGTGACTGTTGTATTTAATTTTGTCAAATACTTAATATTGTTTGTGCTTCCTTTTCTGATGTTGTGGAGAGTACCTTCAACCGGCAAAGGACTCTGGCTGGCATACTCCTCATTGACTGATTGATAGATCGGGTGATACCATTTGGAGTTCCACTATGGGGGAAGACCATGGAGTTCACATTCTAAGCTGCTGCATAATGTCTCTTTTGCTTTTGTGGTTTGCTCGTTTTGTTAATTTTGTTAAGTTAGTAGTAATTTAAGTTTAATCCTTAAGCTACCTGTTCAGTTATTTTTGTTACACTTGTGTAGATGTTCTCCCTACCTCTTCCTCTGTGTGTTAGTCTGGTCTAACCAGCCAGTATTTAAGTCCCCTTTGTTTCCTGTGTTTCAGGTCAGTTTGTTTGTGCATTAAGTTTGAGGTTTTGTTATGGTTAACCATGATATTTTTTGCCTTCATTTAGTCTCTTCATTTGACCTCTTTTCAGGTCCCTGTAATTATTGTTTGGATTTTTGTTACTTTGGGGAAATAAAACCCATTTTTATAAGTAATCACTGTGTCTTTATGTTTTCCCTCACAGTAATGCAGCAGTATGTTTTACTCAACTTATTCTTGTTCAGTAATAGAATTCACTCAAAAACTCCTTTAACATGACAGGTCAAAAACAGCAAAACCAGAAGAGAGACAGAATATTATTTAAGAGCATTTATTAACCATATTGGTTAATAAAAGTAATGACTCACATCAGTTCTAATGTAATAAATCAGAAAAAGGAGTTTTTAAAAGAAAAAAACACAGAGGCTAAAGAAAAAATACCATAAACATGGAGTCAGAGGTTTTGATTAGCAGCAAAGCTTGTCAATCACATTAAAGGAGTGACACTAAAATTAGCAGAAGAAAACCAAACCAACATGATGACATTTTCTATTCAGTCTCCGCCCCTCATCTCACATGATGAGATGCCTGATATATTTGCTTTCTCTAGGCTAAAGTCTGGGTATGGGGCAACACCTTTGATCCTATACTAGTCTGAGTATGCCAAAATAATCCATAATACATAACTTAGTCTGAGGAGGAAAAGCATTATTGTAGGAGAGTTGTCTAAGCTGTTAGGCCTAGACCTCTTGGCACTATGTCTAAAGTCTAGATTACAAACCAAGGCAGGTGCAAGAAGGAGAAGGCAGTCCTAAAAATACCCATGAGGATTCCTGTGGTGGCCAGAAGACGCTTTGGGTATCCTCAGTCTTCATGGCTTTTTGTTATGTTTTTTTCAAAGTAAAGCAGATGGGTGAAAATTAACACATTTTAAAAGATATAACTGACTCCTAATTATTTTCACACTACTTAATGTATGAATAATCAAATGCTCTCATTGGGCAGTTTGAATACCAGTTAACATTTCCCAGATGACAGGCAGATTAGAGACTAAGCTGCTGTAATTGAGGTTTAAACTCCCCGTTGTCCTCACACATATCTGATATGATATCAGGTAAACACTTGTTGGGTTGAGCCCCATTGACTGCAGACAATACCTCCAGATGTCAACAGACTTAGAGAAAGCATGCCTTCTCATGCAACACCCTTGTCTTCATTCCTTTCCGCTTATCCTGGACATAGACTCAACCTCTTCATACTCATCTATCTTTGTGCACGTGCCCCTTAATAAATAAGAATTTCATTGAAAGGTTAATTTATTACTGTAATTCAATTCAAATATATCAAGTGAGTTTACATTAGACACACTTGCTGTTTAATCGGGCACAGCACCATGATACCCTGGTCATTAAAGAAGGTATTGGTACTTTTGGCAGTGGGGCAGGTGCTTAATCTTGTTTGAAACTAAAACCATCTCCATAATGTTGTCAGCAGAGTGATGAACGAGAGCTTTAAATTTCCTCATAAATGGCAACACTGACTTTGAGAAAACACAGTGGACAACATGAGCAGATGAAAATGCTCCCAAAACTTGACCGACTGGAGATTTTCGACCGCAACTGAAATAATTTGCTTGGGCCCTCCTTTATTTTATGGACCAGCCTGGTCTTGTTGGTTATGAATTGACTTATTTAGCCTAGATTAGATGCTTCTGACACAACAGTCGTATTTTATCCTGCTTACATCAGTGTTTGCGGGTACTGACCTCGGCAACAGTCCATGTCTTTTAAATCTTAATTAAACTATTAAATGGGCTTTGTTTTGACCACAACTGTTTTTCCTTCCACTCAACTTTCCTCTGATATAATCTTCTAAGAACAGCTCCTTCAGCAATGACCTTCTGTGGCTTACACTTTTTGTAGAGAGCATCAGATCCTGCCCATGGACACTTGTAAAGTCAACAGTCTGACCTCTGATTGAGTAGTTAGGATATAATGTGATCATAGCATTTTTGCATTATGAATTCATTTTATTTTCATTCTTTTTCTAGGTTCATTTTTAATAAGAAAACTAGATGGATGGATGGATGGATGGATGGATGGATGGATGGATGGATGGATGGATGGATAGATAGATAGATAGATAGATAGATAGATAGATAGATAGATAGATAGATAGATAGATAGATAGATAGATAGATAGATAGATAGATAGATAGATAGATAGATAGATAGATAGATAGATAGATAGATAGATAGATAGATAGATAGATAGATAGATAGATAGATAGATAGATAGATAGATAGATAGATTTTTTATGTACCTGCATAAAAACAGCATTCACACAAATCCATCCTATTGGCCCCCTGAAAGGGGAGGCATCCCTGCTCCAACAGAGCTAAAATGATATTAATCACAGTATTTTAGGCCAAAAAATAGATTTTACATTGAATAAGTCAAATATCTTTGTAAAATTGAATGTTTCTTATTTCTTAGACTCTGTGAATTAGACAATGTGAAACCTTGTCAAATACAAGAAGTTTTTTTTATTTTTATTTTTTTTTTCCTGAGCCTGCCTACTTTCACTCCCCATATAAAGCAAAATCAAAAGTCAAATGTTCGGGACCTACGAATCGCTGAGCAGCTCCTTAAAAAACCTCCCAGCACCCCTCACACACGCCTCCTCCAGAGAGTATTGGATGTCCTCAGGAATCCAGTCACCCCCTCCTTGGAAGAACATATTTGACAGGACGAAGTCAGCCGGAGCCCGCAGTCCAGCCCCAGCCTTCAGTCAGGCGCAGACTCCCCCAGCCCCATCTCCTGCTCTCCCTTTTGGACGTTTTTGTTCGGTGTTGAAGCACAGCAAATAAGCAGCCATGGATGCCATCAAGAAGAAGATGCAGATGCTCAAGCTCGACAAGGAGAATGCCTTGGACAGAGCTGAGCAGGCCGAGTCAGACAAGAAAGCAGCTGAGGACAGAAGCAAACAGGTCGGATGAGTTTTCTTCATTCTATCTTTAAAGGAAAAAGCAACAAACGCCAAGCAGCAGCAATTAAAAGCTACGGATGATTAAGTTAAATGATACATGCATGATTGCTAAGTGTTATATAAAAAAAGAAAAGTGTATAATTCTTTTATAATTTGTTTAACCTTTAAATTCCCTTGCATGAATGTGTAGTTAGAGGAAGAACTGAGAGAATTGGAAAAGAAATTGCGTGTTACAGAAGATGAAAGAGATAAAGTTTTTGAGGAGTTCCAAACTGCTGAGGAAAAAATGTTGGCTGCTGAGGAGACCGCTACCAAGGTATCCCACCCTGAAGTGCATGAACTCACCTAACTTCTCTTCTCTCTCCCTGTCTTCTCTCCGTCCTGTCCTGTCTTCTTCTGTCTCTCCGTGCGCTCCTGCGCCCTTGCGCGCTCACGCAACTCCCTTTCCTCGCCGTTCACACCTGAAACTCTGCTGCACATAAAAAATAATAATGTAAAAAAAAAAAAAAATCAGCTTGAGGACGACTTGGTGGCTCTGCAAAAGAAGCTGAAGGGAACTGAGGATGAGCTGGACAAGTACTCCGAGGCTCTTAAAGATGCCCAGGAGAAGCTTGAGCTTGCTGAGAAGAAAGCCACCGATGTAAGTATAAGGAAGTCTTCCCCTAGGCACCATTCCACCTCCACCCTGCTTCACATCTGCACTGTTTTCATCTTTAACGCCAGTTCAACAGCACAGAGGAGCTGTCTGTCTTTTCTGCAAACGACTAATTTGTTTTATTTTTGGTGATGCCATTAGTGGGTACCACTGCCACAATTGGACATTTTAAATTTGTGTTGTAACAACGGTTGAGCTGTCGTTAAATGTTTCACCACAAGTCACGTGGTCACTGTCAATTCAGCCCAAAGAAAACTAAAACCTTTAAAAGAAAAAAGGAGGATGTTTGTGTTAACTTCAAAAATTCCTTATGAGAAAGGAGTTTACTTTTCCCACCTTATATATTTAAATATTTTTTTTATATATTTTTTGCCTTAAAAAGGCTTCAGACTGAGTGAAGCTTGGCCTTAATGTGCAGAATTCCCAAGCGCCTGGAGAGGCAGCGCCTAGATAAATATAGCCCACTGCTTTATATGGTCAAGATAGAGCTCACATCAGCGGGCGCTGCGCTCCTCTGCTTACCACAGATGAAAACGTAGTTTCCTTAAAAAAAAAAAAGAAGAAAAAAAGAAAAAAAAGTCCATTGGAGAACACAGGATTCAATAACCCTTCACTCTCAAACATTAAAAACCTTTTTTTCAATAAGGATAAATACAGCAGACTTCTTTGATAAAAGTAAATGAAAAGTTACATTCTCATACACATATCCTCAGACAATAGTCCCCATTATAAACCAAAACTGAGTGCAGCAGCCCAGATAAGTTTATGCTCTTAAAAGTCAATTAAGGCTGCTTTGAGCCGCTGAAGGAAAAACACGTTCTAATAATCCTTTAATTGGATTACACATGGGCAGATAAGACAAAGTCTGTCAGAGTGTTTTGAGTTTTACTCTCTCGTGTTTGATGATGGTGAACTTTATTCATTATATTCATAATATTACATTTCATATAATATTATATAAAAATGATCACTGATGTAGTGCCTAAAATTGACCAGCAGATGACGCTCTGGTTTCGTACCATTACCTCGACCTGACTTGATTTCAGCAAGATTCAATGATTTAAAACAAACAACAACAACAAACAAAAAAAACAAAAAAAAAAAACATTATTATTATCTTTTTTAATACAGTAACCCTTTAATTAGATTGCACAAATAAAGCGCTGAGACAATTTGTTGGAGTGTTGTGAATTGGAACTGATTTACCATGTGATATTTCATTTTATTTTCGGGATAAAGGAGAATATAGGTCAGTATTAAATGGTTTGAAAAAAAAAGTAGCTGCTCAAGGAAGGAGCATTTCTGTAATATTTTAAAAGCATTCTACGTACAACCTATAATTAATACATCCTGGGTTTAAAAAAAAAAAACTCGTTGAGGCTCTAAAAATATTTCCTGCACTGCTCACAACTGACCAGCAGAGGGAGCTGTAGTTCTCTTAGTTTTTTGAAGACTGAATCAATTTGGACATTTCTGATTAAAACCGCCCTGTTATCCTGTATGTTTGTTTGATTCCGTTGCATTATATTACTTTTTAATTATTGTTATTAAAAAAAAAACTTTTTTGCGTACCAGAAAACTGTGTACCACACCACAGAAATCTCATTTTTTTAAAGGCGTGTGTTGAAATCAGCATAAGCTTCCTGGACAGAAAAGCTTTGCGGAGCGCGTCTCTCTGCAAAGCTTGACGTCATCCCGTCTCTTGACAATTTGTCAGAAAGTGGCTGCAGCTCAGAGTGTTGCCTCGCTTATTTTCTCCTGTTTTTACAAAAACTGTTAGTTTTAATTTAAAAGAGAAAAAAACTATAATGGCTGGAGTTAAATCACTGGACGCAGTCAAGAGGAGGATTAAATCGCTGCAGGAGCAGGCTGACTGTGCTGAAGACAAAGCAGAAAGGTTACAGACGGAGCTGATTGCACAGAGGAAAGCCAAAGAACAAGTAAGCGCGCTAACCGCGCATCTCCGCTCATCAAGCGCATAAAGAGAAATGACCCATGAAACATTTCCTGCCTCTCTATGAATAGTTTAAAATGTGGAAATGATATTCTGACAAGGATAAAACAGGGTTTATCTCGATTCCCTGCAGAGCTATAAGCTGAGCTTTGCTTGATGTTACTTTAAGTCTCAGGGGGGGTTTGAAATCCTGAGTGCGCGTAATTGTCAGGCCGCTGAGGCTCTGCTGACAGTTGAGGAGTGAGTTTCATTGTATCATTGCATTGCCTCATCTCCTGGCTTTGCTTCACTTTGAAGAACTTCTCTTTTCCACCCTACCTGCTTTAAAATAGGACCAAAACGACAAACATTTGAATATTAGTTCTCTCACGCTCCAGGAAGTACCTGCTTAAACCGTGGCAACATTTAATGTGCCATCCTGCGCTGTCAGCCTGAGCTCTTTGACTTTGTCCATATAAGGACAGCAGGTTGTTCTGTTACCAGGAGGCAGCATAGCGGCGTGGGGACTCAACATTTCACTGTTGACTCGTGGGCTGACGGGTGTTTCTCCATTGTCGCGTTCTCGAACTTGAGATGCACGTTGTACCTGCACTGCTCGTTTTGACTTCTGCTGCAGGGGACTGCAGACTTTTGTTATCTGGTGAAAGCGCACGCATTTCCAGAAATGCCTCATACCTGCTGAGCAATCAGCAGAAAGCAGAAGTTAGTAGCACGCCTTAATGAAAACAAAACGGTCTTCTTTCTGCTAGTTTGAATATAGTATAATTACACGAATCCCATTCAGTGTAGCAGAATATATATATATATATATATATATATATATATATATATATATATATATATATATATATATATATATATATATATATATATATATATATATATATATATATATATATATATATATATATATATATTCCAGTGTTTCTTATGCAACTGTGTGGTTGTGACTGGTTACCACAGCAATCTTGGCCCCACACTCTCAAACAATACTCTAGAAAATTCAGCTTCTTCGGGAAACTAGTCACATTAAAATGGTGATTGATATCGATAAACATGTCGCAGCAACAGCTATTTATCAAATTATTCAAATCTGTCAAAGCCCCAATAGTAAATAGGATGAAGGAAAAGGAGAAGAAATAGTAAAAAAAAAGGAAAGAAAAGTCACCCATTTTCTGGAGCTTTTAATCATTATTTATCTAATTTATCATTTAGACAATCAAGATTCTTATCATGACTAGAAACTTAAAATGATAAAGTATGTGATAAATGCCCTTCCTTATAGGAGCATTTAAAAAATGTTATTTGTCTTTTCCCTAAAATGCCAGACTGTGTTTAAATACAGATCTGAGGCAATGTTATGCCTGTTGACTTGAGCCCTATTAATGCTCTCATGGGGGCCATAATGAGGCACAGTATTCAACACTTGGTCCGTTTGGGACATCATTAACATAGTCAGTATGGAATACTGCTTAAACTGCTTCTATCAACATGTGGCACAAAGAAATACTTACGATCATGACCAGTCTTCAGGTCTCTAGATAAATTTATAGATCAACCATGTGTTTTCTTTGGGCTGATGTGTCACATCAGGGTTCAACGGACAAGGGGAAGATTTCTGCTATGTCTTATTCTGCTGCTTTTCTTTTCGGTCCCTAGGCTGAGGGAGACGTAGCTTCCCTTAACAGACGTATCCAGCTGGTTGAGGAGGAGTTGGATCGTGCTCAGGAGCGTCTGGCCACAGCCTTGCAGAAGCTTGAGGAGGCTGAGAAGGCTGCAGATGAGAGCGAGAGGTGGGCCTTTTTAACCATTCTGTATATTTTTAACCACATAAACAAGTATAGCTGGCGTTAAAAGTAGATTAAAAAATGCAAAATAAGAGTTTTCATATCCCTAATATTTTTTTTCACATTTCAGCTATATATATTAACATGTTATATTGTTATTTAATGTAATAAACCAACAAAATGATGTGAATATTTGTTATTTAGAAGGAAAATTATAATTCATATTTTCTTAGAAATAAAAATCTAAAAACATATATATTTATTTTTTTAATCCAGTCTCACCCTGAACCCTGCTTCCCTGTTCCTGCAAAACAAAAAACTCCTGCATCATGATGCTGCCACCACCGTGCCTAACTGTGGTTGGTGGGGTGTTCAGGAACACTTGCGGTGTTAGTTTTAAACAAGACAAAGCATTTTGTCTGTGGCCAAAATTTTAATGTTCTGGTATCATTTGATCAGATACCATCATCCACATGTTTGTTTGTCCCCTTAGCGACAGACAGTAAACTGTAAATATATTTTGTACATTTTGACAATAGCCCTCATATTCTTACACAAAACCTAGATTTTTGTGTTTCCAGTAGTGCTGCACCTTTTTCAGATTTAGATAATAGATTTAACAGTGGTTAAAGATTTAGCTGTTATTACAACCCAGCTTTTCCCCAACTTCATTACTGGGGTTTTTACTAGTCTTTATAAAGTTATTTGTGTAGTTATAACAGAATATATATTTACACCTGGAGACAATTCGTGACAACATTGATTAATTGACTTCTAAATGCAGTTTATTGCACCAAATCAATGTAAAAGAGGCTTTCTTTTAAAGCTGGTGAAAATGAAAAATGTAAGTGATTAGTTGTGATGTTCCATGTGGACTGGACCTATACATGAAAGTTTTGGTACTTTCTGATCTGTTTGTCTCACCACACAGAGGCATGAAGGTCATTGAGAACAGGGCCATGAAGGATGAGGAGAAGATGGAGATCCAGGAGATCCAGCTGAAAGAGGCCAAACACATTGCTGAGGAGGCAGATCGCAAATATGAGGAGGCAAGTTTTTTAATAAAACATGCAAACCTGTTTTGCAGCCATCTTTACCCCTATTAACTATTTTTTGGTATTATTTTGCTGCATAACACTTTGTTGTGCTACACCCAAAGGTCGCCCGTAAACTGGTCATCATTGAGGGTGACCTGGAACGTACAGAGGAGCGTGCTGAGCTATCAGAAAGGTGAGATCTTTTACTTTAACGCACTCCAAATCGCACTTGCACCCGCATGGCTGCTGGACTGGAAATATTTAAAGAAGCATTTTGCAAAACTCACACAATAGATGGCTTGTTTTCATTTAGAGAGTGTGCACTGTGTTCTTACTGTCATTTGCATGCCTCGTATTAATGGCCATGGCCTCTGCACGTATACCACGCCCACTAACAGGCGCGCTCAGAGAGTGGAGGAAGAGCTAAGGGTTTTGGAACAAAGCCTGAAATCACTAACTTCCACAGTTACACAGGTACATCCAACCTAATGTTATTACTGAGTGGCTTGTCTCAATGTCTGCCCTGCTGCATCGGCTTCCTCCTCTGTGCTTGTCCCTTTCCTGCCTTCTTTTCTGGATATCTTAGTTTTTTTTTATTGCCGAACATAGCAGAGAGCTGAGCAAGAATAATATCGAAACAACGCATGATATTTGAATGCAAATAAAAGCACTAAGATTGAATTTGCTGTTCTCACACTTCTGCTTTGTTGAGGCACTTTTAGGATTATTGGGATATCCTGTAGTTCTTATTTGATTCCTCTCTCTGTCCTTCTCATTTCCCATGGACCCATTCTGTGTCTACCCCTGTTTCTATCCATCCTTGTTCCCATGTCCCCACCCCACCCCGTTTTTTTTTTTTACACCCCTCCATCCCCCTCTTTGCATCCTTGGCTTTCTTTCCTCATGTGTAAAACTCCAGCAAATGCTCTGAACTTGAGGAAGAGCTGAAAACTGTGACCAACAACCTGAAGTCACTGGAGGCCCAGGCAGAGAAGGTATGTGTGACTTTCTGGGCCTCTGCATGCTGTTACACCTTTGTTACCTCCAGACTGAGGACGGGAGAGACAGAGGAGCCAAATCTTGACATTTCAGTTGATACTTTTGTCTATGAATGTGGATAATATGTATTATTTGATTCAATTGACTCTTTTGCCTCTGTTTTTGTACAACAGTACTCACAGAAGGAAGACAAGTATGAGGAAGAGATCAAGGTCCTCACTGACAAGCTGAAGGAGGTAATGTTTCCATAATCTGAGCCGGTGGACAATCAAACCAGAGGTGTTCAAACACAGTTCAAGTTCAAACCAGATATCTCTCTTTCTGAAAGGCTGAGACTCGTGCTGAGTTTGCTGAGAGATCAGTAGCCAAGCTTGAGAAGACCATTGATGACTTGGAAGGTGAGCTTTTTTGTCTCAGTGTTTGTAAAATATATATTTATCTGTATTTAGCCTCTTTTTTTTATTTAATCTGTTCCCTATTATGTTTAGCCTGTTTCTTAAGATCATTAAGTCTTTTTCAGGCTGCATCATCTGATGTGGTAACTCCAATCTGTTTTGGTTGAATCTATGTTTTAAATTCTGAATGCAAAGGAATTGTTTGGATGTTTTCAAAGAGAGGTTTAGTGAAGGCATCATCAGTGATTGTTTCTTTGCCTATAGCCGAAAGACTTCTTACCATTCTGTTTGCAGAGAAGTGAAGGGCTGCTCAGTTCAAGTCTGATGGTTTTTGCAATATAAAACAAATCCTAATGAATGTATTTTCTGTCAGGGAGATTCAGCAGCATGTTGGTGATAAAAACTCTCATTTGTTAGCCTGTTTTGGCCTTATGTCAGACATGGAAAGTTCCTCACCCTTTAAATACCCCCGTTTTATACGATCCCTTTATTTAATAAACATTTTGGAAAAAAAAAAAGTAAAAAGACTTTAAGGTATTTATCTTGAAACTGAAAAATGTTGCTGTTAAGATGATCATTTGAAATATTGATCAAACATTTTCTTATGCACAGACTGATGCTCATTAAAAATCTTTGTACTTTTAAGAACTGCTGTAACAGGGACTCTTTAAAAGCAGTCTCCCCATCTGTTGCCTAATATGATAAAGGTGCTTTTTCTTTAGTTTCAGGATCATGAGCAATATTTTTCAGGCTGCAAAAATTTGTTTATAACAGCTTGATTAACAGAAAAGTGTTGCCTGGAAACTTTCTGCAGATTTCAATCAATATTTTTATGTGATAGTGGTTAAGTTACCATGTCAGTTTAAAATGTTGGTAAATAGTTGATCAGCTGCTGTAGAATTTTCCAGTTTTCTCCAGTTTTTTTGGACATAGAACACTGACTAATCACAGCTGCTCAGAAAGGTTAATGAGATCTCATCCTCAACTACCATTACTTAGAGATGCACCGATATTTCTGATCCAATCCATACCAATACCTGGGCTGATCGTATTTAACTGTTGAATGAATAAAAAATATATCTTGTCATGTGAGTAAAGGCTTTAGCCTTGACATAAACATTTTTAAAACGGTAAAAAATTAAACTATACAAATAGATATAAATGTACCGTATGTTATTTATTGACAAGTAAGCAGCAAAAATAAAAGAAATGACAGTTCTATGTAAAGTGCACCTGATTGGATCTCCAATATGAAATCACTGATATCTTAATTAGTCAAAATCGGAGCTGATATCTGATCCAAGTATCGGATCGCTGCATCTTTAGAATTATTCTGCATTGGAGCAGAGCTGAGAAAATGACAACAAAAATAAAAAATTCTAGCAAAGTTCAAATATTAGTATCTGCTTTTATAGTGGTAATGTATCTAAAAGATAAAAAAAAAAAAAAGATTTTTGTTGTTTTAAATGGCTAAAATCAGCTAAAATTTAACCAACTCTCCAGCTGTTAGGCCTCCCACCCTTCAGAGGAGCATCACTTAAAAAATGAACAACTGCCCATCCTTTTAAAAGGAAGAGGTTTATTCCAATAAAAGTGTGACGGAACTCATTTTCTGCTGGTGTTTTTGATAATATCTATTTTTTCCTTCCTTTCTTCTCTATCTTTACTCTGGTTTGGATACTTCACCTTTCACCACCTTGCCATTTCCTCCACCTTTGTTGCTCTCCCTCCTCTGCACCCTGCAATCACCCACTTGCCCCACCCAATAGATGAGTTGTACTCCCAGAAACTGAAGTACAAAGCCATCAGCGAGGAGCTGGACCATGCCCTCAACGACATGACTTCCATGTAATTTCTGTCTTTCAACACCTGCCTGTTTCACTCTCACGCCGCTCACTTGTTCACTGCTGTCTGCCATATTAGGTTCTTGTACCAGGCCTGTTCTGTCTGATTTTTCTCTTTATTATCTTAACATGAAATGCTAAAACCTACCTTTTTCTAACTGTCTGCGTAATTTGAGTCTGTTTGCATAAACTATTATTCAAACAGGAATAATAGTTTGATTCAGTTTAATGCAAACAGGACAGATTTTAGGTGCAGACAGAAAAATGCATGAGTTGAATTGTCACTTTTTTTCACTCTGTTTTCTGTTCTCATGCATTTCAAAAATGCATGGTTTTTTAGGATGTTTTATTCATTTCCCAAAGTTTCCTGGCTATTTTCTGAAACCATGCGATATAGGCGTTTTACTGACTCTGGTTGGTGGATGTGTGGTGTTAGTATTCGACTAATAGGGTCTACTTCTGTCCAGAAGAAAGGCCTCCTGTATGTCCTTTATTTTGCCCTTCATTCTATCATTGTACCAGCTCAAGGTTAGTTGTAACGTCAGTGTTTAGCATCACTGTGGTTGAGCCCCCAGTTTTGCTAAGTTAATCTGTCTGTTTTGAGTTTGAAGTGAGGTTGTGTGGAGTATCTGTGAGTAAGTATTTCTTACCGGAAATACTGTAAATCTGGGATTTCTGACTTTAAATGAAACAACATGATTGGCTGATAGTTTGACTCAAAACTTGGAAGTACTCCACATAACTCAACCCCAAAAATGGCATTGTCTCATTCTGATTAATGAGACTTAATTGTTTTGTTGTTAAGCTCTCCAAGAATGGGTTCTCTCAGCGTGTTGTGTAGTTTGAGTCCATACAATGTATTTTATGGTGCATTGGGATTTTCTGTACTGCATCAGTGTGACTCCTAAAGCGCTGGTTCGCCATGGTGTATTGCTGAAGGTTAAAACACCAAACTCCTCGAGTTCACTTTGCTTCTTTTCTTCCACACAGATAAATTGTTTACATCTCATCAAAGATGCCTCCTTCTGCCCGAGCAGAAGCTGTCTGCTCTCTCCAGCCTGCTCTCCATTTTCCTTTTCCTCCCTGTCTTTGCTTTTCTTTCCTCCTCATGTTTTCGAGTCAGTTGCACCCCATCATTTGTACAGAACCCTAGAGTCTGCTGCGTTATTAAAAATAAACATCCTTCCTTCTATCTAAGCTGTATCTCTTTCCTCTGTCCCTTTTTTTTTTGCCTTTCTTGTCTGGCACTAGGAAAACCAATATGCCTTAATGTTAATAATGTGTTTAATCCCATAAAACCTTATACCTCATATTATTTTCTTATATGTGATTTAATGAATTTCAATCAATGTCCTTTTTTCCTCAAATAATGTTCTGTGAAACTGAAGTATGAGAAATATAAAAACGGTGCTGTTAACATTTAAAGCAAAGGCTAATCCTGATGCTTGACTGAAAACTGAGCCAAGTATCGGGAACTGATAAATGCATTCAGTAGTAGGGCATAGAAAGTGACTGACTAGAAGTATCGGAGAGCTGGTCAGCTGTACGGCTGAATCACTGTTTGGAGGATTGTAGTAAAGTGTAGTTTGGTCAAAGAGAAAAAAAAGCATGTAAAAGTTGTGTAGCCTAATCTGGTGCTTAATTTGAAGGAATCTGCTTCTGGTAAATATAATAAAGATACTTTGTGTGTTGCATAAGACCATGTCTTTGAATGTTAATAAATACACAGTGACAGATTGTGGGTTTGTTTCATTCAGTTCATAAACCCTTATTCAGACAGACAGATAACTGTTGGTGAGATATTTGAATATTTTTAGAAAATTCATTACCCTTGAAGTGTTTTACATTTTGTGAAATTAGAATCACAAATGAATATAGGACAGAGCAACACTGGATAGAGGTTAATTACATGGTGGGAAGAAAGTTATTATATCATGTTACAAAATAAGATCTAAAAAGTTTTTTTGTCTGAATTCAGTGTCCCTGTGTCAGTGATTTGTTGAACTACCGGTACACTTCACAGCACCTGTAGCTCTAATCCTTTTGGGTTTGTCTCTGCCAGCTTTGCACATGTGGAGAAATACATCACTGCAAAAACGATATAGAAATAAGTAAAAATGTCTTAAATTAAATGTATTTAACCTTATTTTGAGTAGTTAAATAAGAGGATTTTCCAATGGAATGGGATTTTCTATTCTTGAGATAAGATAATTAGATAGTATACAATTGAAATAAGACAATGACATTGTTTTTTTATTATTATTATTTTAATTGTAAATCATGTTGTTTCATTGACAAAGTGTCTAACTTACCTCCTCAATTCAAGAAAAAATGCAGTTATTTTAAGAAAACAATTACTTAGATTTGAAATGTTTGCAGTGATCTTTGCCATATTCTGCTCTGCAAAGTAGCTCAAGCTCAGTCAGATTAAAAAGAGCAGCACATCAGTAATCTTCAAATCTTTCTACAGATTTGTATGTGGGATTATGGCTTGAAACTAAACTATTCTCTAGTAGCTTTATCTCCGGAGGTCATTGTTCTCCTAGACGATGAATCTCTTTCTTAAAACCAAGTGTTTTACTGGTATCCTCACAAAAACTGCCCTTTATTTTGTGTAAACTATTTTCCTATCAACTTTGAGCAGAAAATCATGCTTGCTGAGGATTATTCCCACAGTATAAAGCTGCCACCGCCATGTTTCAAATGTTTAACTTAACATGTGGCTAACAGATTATTTCAGCTGCTAATTCTTGGCAGGTCCTCTAAAGTGTCTCTTGGTTGTTTCTCTCAGCCTGTTAGTTTAGAGTAAAGAGGCCTGTTACTGTCAGCAGATTAAAATTATTCTTTTTTATCACTACTGTGTTGGTCTGTTACATAAAAGTCAAATAAGTATATGGAAGTCTTTTTATTATGAAATAACCTGAGACAGCTCAAGGAGTGTATTCATACTTTTAGATAGCACAATAGATCTTTTGTTTGTTTTTTTAGTGTGTATTGGAAATAGACCGTCTGTAATCATGTGCTTCATTGTTTTAACAGAAAGTGTTTTTTTTAATTCTTTTAAAATAACTTTAGATTTTTAGTTCTTTGTTATTTTTTATCAAATAAAAAAATGAATAAGAAAACATGAAGTTATCAAGAAGCTCTGAATTTCATCTTATCCTTTAAATTGCCTTTAGTTTTTCTATAATCTCTTCAAATCATTTAGAATTTTTGTTTATCACAACAGAGAGATTATTCTGTGCCTCAGTGGAACATTTTCTGAAGCTCATTGAAATGTCTGTTTATTTTTTTAATTGGTGTAGTCTTGCAGTGGTCTCCGGTTTTATAATGCATGCATGGGTTTTAAACTATGCACAATAAGGAAAGGTGATAATCAATGAGTGGAGCAAGGTGCATCAAATGACATGAAACCTATTCTCACTTCTGGGGTTTGAATCTGCAAAATATCTCAGTAATAAGTAAAATAAGCAAAAAGTACATTTTAATAAGCTGTGTTCTAATCTGAGATAAATAGTTTTGTCTGTTAAGAGATTAAAACAGCATAACCATTAAGAGACAAACTGCATCAACCTACCATAGTGCAAATGCATCATGATGCATAGTCTAATATCAACCATAAGACCTCAGAGTTATGCTTTCATAATTTTTCAAGATATTAGTTTTGAATACTAATGATATTTTCTGTGTTTATGGTTGGTTCTGGAGCTGTATATGCTTTTCCTAACAAAAATTGGTATTGAACTGGTCATTATTTTTTAATATAAACCTAACTACATAAACAGATTTAGTAGGTCACAGTGCAGCAGATGTAAATAATTTCCACCACAAAATTATACTCGAACATTATATCTCTTTTAATGCAAAACTTTTTGTTTAAGAAGTTGTATTGCATTATCTTTGTTTAAGCCAAAAACTGAAAATATTATATATACTATATACAGCACACTGTATGAACCTTTAATAGGAGCTATGGTAGATCTGGCTATTTGTGATGTAAAACATGACTTGCTCTATAATAGCATATATACAGCACCTCAGGAACACTAACTTAGTATAGTGAAAGAAGTCCAGAGGCTGATGGAGACTATAGAGAAATAATGGATTTAACAAATGTTTTTCTGAATATTTTCTCAAAAAGGAAATTTATTTTATTCTAAATCATGTTTCAACATCACAAGGTGTTGATATATGTTCTTCAGTCCCTGTTTGTTGTCCATATCAATATGGATAGTTTATAAACTAACAAAGGACTTCAAAAAAGACAATTTCCCACTTGGTATGTATTCATAAAATTGGTCGTTGAACATGTTTCTATTAAGACACTAATGTTTGTTGTGTTCTTACTAAATGTGCCTGAGTCATCATTTGATGTTTGCATTATAAATTGTGTCGTGCTTGCAAAGTGAATGGGATTATATCAAAATATAAACCTTAAGACCAGGAGTCTTAAACTGGGGTCTTTGGCAGTTCGGTAACTTAAGATGTAAACATTGAATCAAATGTCTGAACTGCCTCTTCGAGTTGAATCAAAGAGCCTTCCTTATGTTAAAGCAATTTTATTCAGGTGTGTTAAAGCAAAGCTGCTGAGGACCAGCCTTTTTGACTGCATGATATAACATTTAAAGAAAAATGTAACATTGTTTATTCAAGATTTCTGCAGGTCTGCATGGTGTCTTGCTTGTCATTATTGTACCTCTCTAGTTTTGTCAGTCATGTTGTGTTTTGCAAGCTAATCAATAATTAACTGATTTAAATGTGTTGCTGTCTTGATTATTAATGACGGCTAACTTACTAATTCACTGTTTGTGTTTTGAATTGTCTTTATTTCATGTTCTAACAGAGAACCTGTCAAAAGCTAAAGAAGAAAACCTGGATATGCACCAGATGCTGGACCAGACTCTAATTGAACTGAATAACTTGTGAACGCACAGTCCCGGACCCCTCCCACACGTACACACACGCAGTGGTTTGGCTTTTTGCATTTGCACGTTGCTTACCAAAAACCCCTCTTTTTATTCCTCTCCAATGATGGAGAACAACCAGCCAGTTGCTATTTTTATTGCACATTCTTGTTTTTAGCGGATCTCAACCCAGGAGCAAGCCAAAGAGAATGAAAGCATAGCCGTACCTGTTTGATACCAATACAAAAAAGTTTATTTTTACCACTGCCTTTTGCAGTCATTAAACTATGTATTTTTGTAGGTTTTTTTATTTACATTTCATCTGGTTAAATGACATGTAAAATTAGTGATGGAGATTGTTTTTCTACATCTGCGAAAAAGCTGATCTGCATTTTCCAGCTTAATTGTGCACATAGCAAAGGACAAAGTGGAAAGGTTTTTCCCTTAGTCTATACTATGCAAAATACAAAGTTGATTTCCCACAAGAATACCTGTACATGGATTATTGCCTGTCTGTATGTATACTGGTGCTACTGTATCGTTGATTCCATTGTGCATTACAGAATTTGGAAACTTAATGTGTCGTTCAAAATCCATGCTTCAGTTTTTTTCTTTAAAAAAATTCAGTTCTGGTTGTGCATTATTTTAGTTTTATTTTTAAAATGGAAGTTTCAAATGCACAACATATCCTAATGTATAATTGATGATAAATAAAACCACGTTTTGAAACTTTTCCTACTCTGTGGTTTATATTGAGCATTATCCACCACACATTTTGGGGGGATTTCAAAAACTAAATGTATCTTTGCCAAAGATGTACACATTTACCCTGATGTGATAAAACTGTGCAAGATTTAGGCAGGCTTAAATGGTGCTTTATTTTAAAAGCATGTGTTCTAAATGGTAATGTAAATCTTTTTGAGTAGCCGACCTAAGTTGCGGTTGGAAATAAGGAAATATAACTGCTGAGCAGCTCTGCATATTCCCCCCAGTATTATAATCATTTATATGAAGGTTGTAAATATGACATTTTTATAAAAGGTAAAATGCTAAAATGACATATTTTACAGTACTTATCATAGTTTGAGAAATACCTGCATATTAAAAAAAATGAGCAAATTGTCTACATTTTATTATTCTACATCAATGTTTTTAGAACACCCTGTTTGCTTTTAGAAAAAAAAAAAAAAAAAAAAAAAAAATATATATATATATATATATATATATATATATATATATATATATTTTTTTTTTTTTTATTAAAAGAAGAATTTAAGACTCCTGTGCATTTGCAAACAATTACATCGATTTTTATGTAGAATCGGGATTCGATTAATTTGGCCTAGTTCGAAGACTCAAACAGGAAGTTAACAAGTAGGTCCGCACCATTTCTCAGCCGCCGAATAAAATTCTGACCGGAGTGGGCGGGATTTCCCCACCATTTCAAACGACGCTTGCAGAGCATATGCGTGAATTAAAAATGTCAGTGTTTTGGATACCAAAAAAACAAAAAGTGTTCCTTAATAATCGATAACATTCATGGAATTAGCTGCATTATTTGTTGAAAAAAAACGTTTTCAGTACCAACAAAAACGTACTTACCTCTCATCTACCAACATCAGTTTTGTTTTATTTAATCCACATGCAGTAGACAGCGCAAAAACAGTTGTTTACATTTCCAAATACATCATATTTTAGCTTTTTTTTTCTTTTAAATTGGAGCATCTTATTTTTTTTTCTTTTACGTCTTTAATCTCTTGATATTTTTATCTTATGCTTCACTTTCCTTTTTTTTTTTTTTTTTTTTTGCATCACTTTTTTCTTTTCAGT